TTAATTTATCTTCATAGATAAACCAACGATCGATTCAGGTAGTGGTTTCGCGAAATTTCTGTTATAACTGCATCCATGGTCATGCAATTTTATTCAGGCCTAGTCTTCTTACAGACCTCAGAAGATAGAGAAATTTCCCCCACTTTAAGTTATAAGTTTTTTTTTTCTTTCTTTTCAAGAGAGAGTTCAAAACATACCAGAAAGTGCAAATAAAAACGTAATTTCTGGGTAAAAATGTTAGGGGATCGAAAACAATTACACAGCTGATTCGATTTAGAAGGACAAATGCAAATTTAGAACCAAAACGCAGTTGAAATAGTCTCATCTTCAAATGAGTAAATTGTACAACAAATAATGATTTTTTTAAAAAAAAAATTATTTTCTTTTAATTTTTACTATTAGTTTTTGATGAAACCTAAGTATGTATATGGAGCTTACTTAGTAAATGAAGATCTGTATAGTACAGGGGTGGCGAACCTTTATACACCAACGTGCCATTTTTTCTAAAAAAAAATTTATGAAATCACAGACGTGCCGTCAATTAATTTTGACTTCATGATTATTGGGAAAATAATAATACTAAATACTATCAACTCGAAACTCTTTATTTACATTGAAAAGAAAATACATTTTGCAATGTCTCAGTTATACGCGTAATTCAACTTAAAGTAGCATTAGTGGGACTTCTGTTTTTGCAGATTAAATTACAAATAACTTATATTAGGTTGTAAGATATTAGTTTAAGCAGGACTGTTGATTTTTTTGCTAGTTATTTATTGTTAGCTTGTTTTTTTATGGTTATTAATTGTTCATTAATTGTATTATTATTATCGGCATTAATTGTTAAATTTTTTCATAGTGTGTGACATTTGTGTAATAACAATTCATAGTGCAATAACAATTGTGATCGGTGGCGTGCCCAAAATATTGCGTCGCGTGCCATAAGTGGCACGCGTGCCATTGGTTCGCCATCCCTGGTATAGTAGTTTAAAAAGATCTCCTTAAAATGGGGCATGGAAGAAACTTTGACACCCACCCGATTATTCATTCAAAAGACTTCGCCAAACAAATTATTCATACAGTTTCTTTGAATACTGATTTATTTGTAAAACAAACACAAAACAATCGTGCAAGTTAAAAAGTAGTAGTAAATGTTTGATTATGCGGCAGGAAACGTTATCCATTAGGAAAAAAAGATATTACTGGTAACTAAATTAATTCTTTAGCAGTTTATTTGCGGGCATTACTATAATAGTTTAGTATAGGCCGGATAGCCTGTTTGGTAGGGTACTGGATCCACATCCAAGAGGTCATGGGTTTGATCCCCGCTGGCCGAAGTGTAAATGGTGACTGATGCACGGTAAATCTGTCGAGTCAGAAAGTCCTCCATCCTATAACAAATCATACCTTTGGGGGTACTGATTCAGGAGTTTCCTTGTCTTCTATATTGGTTCAAAATTACAAGGCTACGGAGTTGAACAACAGTAGTCGTAAACCCAAAATTGGGTCGGCTGTTCAACGACGGTCATAAAATAAAAAATAATAAAATAAAATAGTTTAAAATGAGCCATGGTGACTCAGGGGATAGAGCGTTCGCTTTCCAGCTAGGTGAATCGGGTTCAAATCCCAGTCATTGCTGGTCGATACGAGTTCCGCACTCGGCTCACACCTACCACAATCCTGATGTAAAATATCCTCAGTGGTAGACAGATCATGGGTTAGAGCAGGGGTTGCCAAACTTTTTTGATCATCGACCCCTACATAATTTTTCGAAATCTCCACCGACCCCCATAAATTAATTTTCTGTTAATTAAAATAAAACTCTATTAAATACTGTGTTTGTACACTTATTTTATGATTTTGAACATTTATTAAAGCAATAGTACATAGTGTAACAATAGTTTTATGAAAAATATATTAATGTTGAAATATAAATACCTTAATATTTATGAAATAATAAGTAATTATAAGTAAGTAGAAATAATAAGTAAAGTAACTACGGATTTATTGCTTCTTAATCAATGACATGGGTGTGCCTGGTGTTTTTTTTTCTTCTGCAAGGTACGTTATATTGGGTTCAAAATTGGTCAATTTTAATCTTAAATCCCCTCGAAACTCCACATTTAATTTATTTCTGTTCTTAGTTAAGATTGAATTTACGTGACTGAAACCGGCTTCAACCATATAGGAACTTGGAAATGCTATCATAAATGGCTGAGCTATTTCGTAAAGTCTTACATATTTTTGCATTATATTTATATTTGTCCAAAATTTGCTTATTGTTAAATTTTTAAAAAGCGTCTTTGCTTCAAATCCCCATAATAATTCAGCAAGCTCATCTTGCAGGTTGATGTCCACGTTTTCAATTTGAGCAGAAAATGGCACAATAATCCAATCAGGGATGTCAATGTTTTCCAAATCAACAAAACGCAGTTTAAAATCGTCGCTCAATTTTTGAAGATTACCTGTATATATTTCCAAGTCTTCTTCTTTTATTTCTAATTGTCACATATCTGAAAAATACTGGTAATCCTTCGATCAATCGACTCTTCCGGTTCGGATCGACCCCCTGGCTCAGATCGACCCCAGCTTATGTTAAATAGACCCCTGGGGGTCTATATAGACCACTTTGGCGACCTCTGGGTTAGAGAGTCCCCTTGCCGTCAGGCTAACTGGGAAAGGTTTTGTGGCTCTCTCCATGTAACGCAAATGCTTGTTAATTCCATCAATAAAGAAGGCAATTATTTACAAAAGCAAATTTCATCCAATACTTGATCCAGGAGTTCCCTTGTATTCTGGATTGGATTCAAAACTACAGGGCTACGGAGTAGAACATTAGTAGACGTAAACCCAAAATTGAGTCGGCTGTTCAACGACGGATACAAAATAATATAAAAAATAAAATAGTTCAATATACTTAATTCACCACTACATAATCCAAAATAAAACCACTTTGAACTAACATAGATATGTGATTAGCAGATCAACACTGATCAAAATGAAAATAAAATAAATCTTTCAAATAAGCCAGTGTTTCCCAAACTTATGACTTTAGTGTACCCTTTCTAAATTTTTCGTAACGTTGTGTACCACTAATAAAAAAATTTATGTATTTTTTTTAAATTTGTTTATTTTTATTTTTTCGTACAAAATTTTGTTAATAAGTTTATTTGCATCAGTGAAAAAGATGATATTGTTTTTGCTCTGATAAAAAAATTGCACAAAAGTTTAAAATTACAACTGGCTGTTGACACCACTAATTATTAACTGTTAACTCAACAAAAAATAGTCAATACAAAAATCGTAAATTTTCTCTCTTTGTTTTTTTATTAAAATTTTTTGAGATTTTTGTTTGTTGTAAGATATTTCGCGTAAGAACGCCTGCACCCGCTAAACTATCCCCATACCCCTGGGGGTACGCATACCACACTTTGGGAAACACTGAAATAAGCCATGCCCATATTTAAAATATCACTTTCAAATTTATTTATTTTTCCAATCCTGATTTTGATTTTGCTTTTATGAATCATCCATCTCAAAGGGGTTAAAAACGATGGAAAATGGACGATGACTGTACTCTAAATATAATGTTCTTTCTATGAGGGGATAGTTATGAATGCATTATTGTTTTGAGAATAAGAATAATAACGAAATGTGTTGCCATTGCTTTTCACTAATATTTGAGTTAATATTTTAATTTACGTTAATATTTTTAAAAAAAATAAATGTATGCGAAAAGTCAGAGGTATCGAATGTCAAATACACGCAAAAGGCAAAGTAACATATAAATCAAAAATTTTATACTTATGGGGGGTGTTAAATCATTTTCATCTGATAAACGTCGATTTTGTAAATAGAAAATAGAAAACTCATCATCTACTTCAAGCTTTGAAGCCCAGAAGCAGAATTCAAACAAATAAAAAAAAAAGAGTCTATTTCAACTTTTAGTGTTTCGTAAGAGTAAGGGCAAGAAAAAGCGAGGAAAAAAAAAACTCTTTTCGTTTCCATCAACTTGAATATTATTCTCCGCCAAGAAAAATAAACTTTCGTTCTAACATAACGCTTCTACCATTGATTATCACATGCTTGAAATTCCATTCACACGATAGGGGTGCAATCACGGCCGTACACGCACGAAAGGAAAGGTTGGGAACGCTAACGAACTAAGCATTCTCCGAATTTTCTATCGACCTAGAAGAACAGATATATCTACATTCGAACTGAAATAAGGGGAAAAAGAGAGAGAGATTCCCAAAATCAATTCCCCCTCCGGCTTCCCTCATTCGATCAAACATTCTTTCGCACTAAAAACAAAAAAGACATTTGGGCCAGTGGAAATTAAAAATGTGCCTTCTTCATTTTGAGCATCACTGAGTACTCCAGCACACCCCTATAAGACCCCCCTCACATCCACCTCCCAAGGGAAAAGCACTTTCTGAGAGAACGACCACAGACGCCTTGGAACAAAAAAATAGAATAAAAACGGGAGGATGAGGATGGATATATACACAGTCCGCACACTTACACATCCACCATAGCTCCCTCGTCCACCCCTCCAAGTTATCGAGATATCGATTCTCTTTGTCAAAATTGACGGAAAGAGGAAATTTTCCTTCGAAAGGAGGGGGGTGAGGCAATTGCGAACTTGCGCCCTCCTCGGGTTCATTCAGTGATAGCCCAATGGGTAAAACAACCGAAGCTCCATGTAAAAAAGAATGGCAAAAAATACATATAATATATATATATAACACGAAAGAAACGAAACTGGCTCTGAGAGTTCAATGCAGATCAAGCTATGAATGATCTGTGAAAAAAATCGATGTCCGAGTTGCATTGGGTCTTTCTTGGCGTTTGGGATGGAGGAAAGCTTGGGGCGGCGCAAGGGGAGAAAAAGGGGGCGCCGCGCGCGTCAGAAAGGCAGGCACACACACACAGAGGGCGGCACAGAGCCGGCTGTGGTGGTGGTGTTGGTAACAACACGCTCGGGTAGCCCGTCTTGAGGAGACTGAAAACATACAACTAAAATCGTACTTACTTCCAGCAACTGTGGCGTACAAGGCACTTCCAGAGATTCCCAAAGTTCTAGAATGGTGGAGATGTCCGCATACCTGTAAAAGAAAGAAAAGAATATCTCAGAAGGTGAGTTCTTTTCTTTTTCCATCATCATCAACAGAGAGAGAGAGTTGGGACTTTAAAAACTGGTGCGCGTGCGCGACACAAAAGCATCATCGACAGAAAGCGGCTGTATACCTTTAGGTCTGTTTGGGGGACCCGCTTTATTAACCAGGTGTGGGTAGGGAGTACATAACAGGTGAGATCATTGGTATGAATGAGAACAAACACGCGAGAAGAGCATCGGTTTTTGAAAGTTTAGTTCGGGCAGAAGGATTCGAATGCGTTGAGGGAGTTGTGCCAAAAATTCTAGAGATGCGCTTGCGCAAAACAAGATCATCTTTGCTTCCATGGAGAATTTTCAACCATCAGTTTGAAAAAGTTTGCCTTCAAATTAGAATTGATGTACTTGAGAGGCTATAATTAAAATGGACGTGTTTGAATGAACAATTTTTGTTAACTACGGATCCTTAACTCTACTAGGTTCAGTTGTTATACATTTTCGACACTAGAAAACTTTTCTTTATGTTATACCATTTTAGAATTTTTCACAAATACTTATAACAAATGAAGTTGCAAAATATTTAAAAAAAAAAAAAAAAAGACAATAAGCTTAATCCTTTGACGCAGAAAATTGTATCACTAAACATATCTCTTATACTATTTTGTATCAATTTAGGTCAAAATAAGTGAAAAATATTATATTTAGCTTTTAATAATTTACGGTTATGAAATTTAGCATAAAATACTAGTGAGTGTGTGTGTGTTTTTTTTCCTGCACAAAAGGTAAGTTTTTCCAAACAAAGTTTGCACTTATTCGCAGTTATTTAGATATAAGAGAAACAGTTCATCATTGAAATTTCCTTATTTTAAAAAATCAATTATTGAAAAAGTTTTGAATAATAATGACAAAAGATTTAAAACTGCTCTTTTTGGACTAAATATTTTAGTACAAATATAATTTCAATAATCTAACACATTTTTTTCATAACTATAAGACTGCCTTTTATAATTAAAAAAATACGTAAATATATTTTTACTAGTAATTAGAGCGTCAGAAAAAACAATACGTAAATATATAAGGGTCACCGGTGTCCCATATGCGTCAAAGGGTTGACATAAAACTACATAATCCACAATTACTGCAATTTATAAAGTAATATAATATTTATTTTTAAATACTTTTAGTTTTTCTCTAAAAACATTAACAATGCGGGGTTTTTTTCTAAAATTAACAAATATTCTTTGCAAGACAATATACTCCGAATAACGATACTTAAAAAAATAATATAAACTAAAATAAATAGGATTAATAATAAAAATAATCAAGTGATTAGAAAATTAACGTTCGTTCTCTGATAGTGCGAAAAATGGAATAATCTTATTTTATGCAAGGTTACAAAAAGGCCCAGAAACAGAATTATATCGAATGTTCTATAACACGACTTAATAATTACAAATGTTCTACGGATAACATCAAAACTAAACAATACGAAATAGCTAAACATTTACAATTTTTTTTAATGAAATTTTATTTTGTAAAATAAATTTAGTTGGAAAAAAAAGGAAACTTGATTAGTTAAGTAAAACATTATGAAATGCCTACATAATGAAATGAAAATTACTAACAGCATATTATATTTTCATAAAACTTGGACAAAAATTGTTCTGCGAGAAAGTGGACATGAATAATTCTCTAAACATAAATTGCTCTGCGACGTACGTCCCGATTTTGAGCACTTTCCGCTTTTGGTCAAAAAGATAACTAGTGAAATGAAATATAACAACATCTTGAGGTAACAAACAGATGATCTTTTACTTATTTATTTTCCTAAAACTCAGATTTCTTAAAAGAAAAAGAAAAAACCTCAACCTTCCTCAGTCAATAGGCATTATATAAGTTCGTCACTTAAGATGTGAAAACATAGAGTTAATGGTTTTAATAATATTATGTGGGATAGTTAGTGTAGTTTCATCGTGCAGCAATGATTGGAAAATATATGATGCTCTGTAATTATTGCCCTTATTACATATCTTGTTAAAAATCTTTATCTAACATGAAATAAAGCCTCGCAAATAGCAAATTATTATTTTTAAATAAAAAAAAATTACGGAGCAAAGAGACAATAAAACTCCCACAAAACAAGTTTATTTGAGTAATAAAACTTCAAAGATAATCAATGTCAAGATTTTAATATTTTCGATTTTTATTTCCCCTTAAATCATTCATTTGCGTCCAATGCTTGGTTCAATAAGAAATAGTTTTTTTTTAGAAGGTTTCTAAAAATATAGAGTAAGAGCGGAGATTATAAAATACCCGGTATATAGTAAGCATCTACTAACTACACAAAAAGTGTTAATAAGAATTGTTTTGACTGAGAAAAAAAGGAAACGAAACGAATTACATATATCTTTTTATTTATTAATTAAAACTAACCTAATAATAATTATAATTTATTGTCATAATTTAACTAAATAATAATAATTTATTAATTAAAAATCATAAATTATGAATTCAATAATTTATATTGACATATAAGGTATTTATCAAAATAGTTTATAAAGTTGAAAATAACAGACATTTCTTATCACTCTTTATCTTTTTTCCTGTTTAACAAGACAAATGAGAATTATAAGATAGAATTTAACACGCAATGATAACTAAAAACAAAATTTCATGGTTGCTAAGTTATATTACTAATCTATTAAGTAAAAAAAGAGGGTAAGAAAGAAAGATAAAAAGACTAATTTTTAATAACCTTTTATCTGATTTTTTTCGTACAAAGATACAATCGTTATTCTCGAGATGAACCGCTTAAATAAGTTAATTAATTAAGCCATCCTTATTAGACCTGAAATAATGCCTCCTTTGAATAAACATTCCTTTTAACCCTTAAATTTTAGGGTGCTTTTTTATCCAGTAAATGTGGCACCAAAATGATTAGTTATGAGAGCGATTGGAAGTACAGGTCTCTAATTTGTACTTTTTGAGATTTTATTCAAAAGGATGAAACCTAATAACAAAAATAGTAAAATGTTTGCACATATAAATATAAAACTCGCTAAAAGGAACATTTTTTCAAAAAATCAACGAATTAATTTGATAGAGAATAATTTTCTGAATCAATTATAACAAAATGTGTTTATGTTTTTGATTTTGAAATAAAAAAATATCTTTATTAATTGAGATTCAATTGAAAAAAAAATCGTAATATTTTGACATATGATTGCAAATTTCTACATTTTTGTTAAAAAAAAGAAAAATTAGGACTACTTGAAAGAATTATTTTAATCTACTTTCAAATAAATTTAAATTAAATAATACAACTTCAACATACCTGTCACAAAGTATACCGATATATTCATATATATTATTTATATTCATATGCTCATGAGTCACTATCATAAAAAGCAGTTAATTTTTTAATTTTTTACATATATTTAAGTTGGTTATCATTTTTTTATTACGTTAATTCACGTATTTATATTCATTATTTATATTCATTTAATTTTACGTCAATTCTTTACGTTAAAAGTTTTTACATTTTTTTTAATTTTTTACACACATAAAAATAGACCATTCTCTTTCAGTTTTTGAAATTTTTTTAAAAAACTGTTTATTGTTTGATTCCTTAACTAATCGACTTTTCACACTAAAAATGAAACGAAAAAACAAGATCTTAGTTTATAAAACGTTGCCTTTTTACTATTAGATAATTTAATTAGTCTAAATACGGAATAAAATGATTTTATAAAATTCAGAACAGAAAATATGCATGATGAAATAAATTCTTTACATAAATAATAATTCAATCAATCGTTATTCATTAACTTAATTCTATTTATTTGTTTGATTGTTTAATTTTCATTAATATTATTTGTCTTCCTTTGTCAGTAGAATAATTTGTAAATCAAAAAGTGGATAGCTACAACATTTAAGTTAACAAGAAGTTTAAAATTTAAAATTGGAACGAGATTCCAAAATTTCGCATTTCAGGATGTTTTCTCAAAAAAATATGCTCCTTTTCTCATTTTAAACTATTCTTTTTGAATGAGATAAAACAAATAAATTTTCTAGTGACAAACTGTTCTAACCAACAGATTGTAGTAAGTTTTATTATTATCTTATAATTTTTAAGAATTTTATTACCATAGCTAAGTTCTCTATGCTTTATCAATCAGTGCCAGCATTAAGAAATAAATAAACTCTTAATACTAGCTAATGATTAAAAAACTATTTTAAATGTTACCTTTAATTTTATTGAGAAATTATTGCTTGCAATTACTATTTCACAAATTTGATTACTTACATTATTATAAGCAGTTTATTCTCTATTAATTACTGCATTCTGACTTCTAACCAAAACATTATCTCATATGAAATGGAAAAATCGTCTGCGTTTCTATAAAATTAAAATTTTATACTGTACATTACTGTTGAAGATGGAATTAAACTTTTGCTTTAATAATAGCATTTTTTCTTATTTTTTTACGAATGTCTGCGTAATACTTAGGAAAATAATTATTTATTTACTTAAGAAATGAAAGAATAAAAATATATGTTACAAAAGCAGTGAAACATTTTTTGTTACAGAGTTTTAACAAAAAAAAATCGTTTGCAATTTTTAAAAATAGTCAGACATAAAATTTGACACTTTATTATATAAATGGGATACTAAAAAAATTAATTTGAATTTAGAAAATTTATGATTTCCTTTTCAAGAATCGTTAACATGCAAGAAATATTTGTTAAAAAAAATATTATTTTCCTCCTTTCATTCTAATAAAATTGTATCACAAAAAATTTAAAAAATATAAATAGGTTTTTGAAAGTTGTAACGAAAAGCATAACGAGCTAAACTAAAATGTTTACAAGCTTGGTCAGTTGGACATAGAATTTAATGGTACAAGACAGCATATGCGGCGACAAACACAGATATTTTTACATACATGATACAAAGAAATCAAATGGTGTTATAAATTATGTCTGCAAAAAAATAAAAGTTGGAAAGATCACGGGTGTTGTGGGACCCATTAACCTGAAGTGTGTAAACTTCCTAGGAGACTCAAAAACTTGGACACCTCACTTTTTCTCACAATTTTGCAAGAATTTTTTTTTCTCGGTATTTTGACTCATTTCATAAAAACCATTACGAAATATCACGACCCTTATATCGGCTAACACAAATGGCATACATTAAATATAATAAATATCTACTACAGGGCGTCATTCCCTGCTAGATGTGCAGCCGAAACTGCTTTTTCTTTGGTTTTTATACATTTTACAAGAGAACTATAAAATTTTTAAATTCTCTCGATATATATACACTCATGAACAAAAAAATTAGTGCATCAAGAAGGAGTCGTCAAAATGAAACGAAATTTTACATACGTAATGACTACTTTGATATAAGTAAATGATTAGAAAATCAAAAAAAAAAAAAACGATAATCTTTGATTTTCTAATCATTTACTTACATCAAAGTAGTCATTACGTATGTAAAATTTCGTTTCACTTTGACGACTCCTTCTTGGTGTGCTAAATTTTTTGTCCATGAGTGTATATATATATATATACAAACACATTTTATAGTTCTCTCGTAAAATGTATTAAAAAAAAAAGAAAAAGATTAGAAAATGACCGATAAATGACCGCTCTTTATCAATAAAACACATAATAAAGCTAATTAAAATAAATATATATTTTGTTGATATTAATTTTTCGCTTCGAACTTTTCATTTCTGCTAATAAGAATCGGAGCTTTCAAAGTAAAAGAAAAAACTTCTCATGGGGAAAATGAAATAAACTTTTTTCTTCAGCGGGAAAACGAACATTGACTGGTAGATTTTGTGAGCTAAGGATAGTTTTAGAGATGATGGGTTGTTCCTATGGACTAGATATGTTGTTCGTGTGATCTGTTGCCGTGTATTTTGATTTTTAATATGTGTATTAAATTTGTCTTGCGTTTGTCAACAGTGTTTTCACGGGCTATCTATTTAAGTGTTTCACATTAAAATCCCCAGTCTGCCCAACTTATAGCTCAGTTTGTTTCAGCTTTTCGTGACCCAAGCAAGCAAAGAATTGTTATTCAGAAATTTGTAAACATCTAAAGCTTATGACAGCTCACTCGCTTGCTATTTCAATTTTCAGTACTTTATTGCCAACGTAAAGACGAAATTTCTTTGGTTTCTTAATAATATGCATGCGCGTTCGTGTTTTACAAAATATTTATTCATTTTATTACAGGGGTCATGATAAACGAAGTGGAACTCTTGGAAGAGCTTCCTTACTATCGGACGCTACAGAAACCACCACACCACCATTCCCAACACCATGGCCCTACACTGTCATCAGCACCTCACTACCCAACAGCCCCCAGAGGACTACGTCTTGACCCTAGCTACGACGAGACAGCCATTGCCATCATCGCCCCAGACATCAGAGTACCACAGAACAATCCTCTGTCCATCTCAACACTTGAGTATTGCGAACAATATTCCCCTCTCGGTTGTCTGGACATCCTTTTGTCCATCGTGGGATATGTCGGAGACCTGGGTTCGGATTTGGTAGTTTGTTATGTCCTACTGGCCGAGAAGCGAGTGCTTTGGGCAGCCCTGACGGCCACTTTCGTCCTTCTTTCTGTTATAGTAGTCAATGTCCTCAGTATTTACTGGTACATACGAAATCAAAGAAACTCTGCCTCCATCTACACATCAGTCAGCAAGACCACGTGGGTCATCCGCGCTCTCTTCCACGTTTTCTGCATTGGTCTTCTGTACAGGTAAGACAAACTTAAATTATAATTACAATTCGACACTTTTAAATTAAAATTATTCTTTACATTGTTTTTTATATACCTGTTAAATTTTAGAGCTGTACGACAAATATTTATTTATCAAAAACAATTTTTACGGATGAACCTATGCTATCGTAGCCCTAATATGTTCCTTATTCCTTAGGTATTTCAGACATGTTAATAATAATATCATAATTTTAATAAAAAAGTATTTCTGGAAAAAAATTGTGAGACTTGGAATTTTTAAAAAATTTTCGTAACTTTTTATAATGTCTCGAAATTAATATTTTTTTTAAAATTTCAGATTATTCCTCACTTTAACGAACACTATCGATTATTCCGCAAAATATAAAGATTACATAGTAAAATTAATTTTAAAAAAATGTTCAAAATTGGAAGATGTGCAGCATTTTAAAATTTAGTATAAAAATTAAACTTAAGAAAAAGCTACACAATTTTATCCCAATTTTTAAACTGGTTGTTTATATACCTTAAGAATATATTATAGTAATATAAAATTGCACCTGAGACCATAAAAAGTTTTATTCAAAAATAAAAGATACCGCATACTCTAAAAATTAACTTTAAGAGAAAAACATTAGTAATTTTATATTAAAAAAAAACAAAAAGCGTAAGTATTTAGTGAAAAATATGAGAAATTTAAATGTCTATAATATTTAAGTGCTGTACTACATAAACTCGTTTAGTAGCAGAAATAATCTACAGTATATATTCGATTTTTTTACCAAGTATTTTTTAACATTTGCAGACTATCACAGATTATGTTCTATTTTTTTAAACTTTTTTCCTCCTAATGGGCGAAGCAAATGCAAACTTGGAACTTCATATCATTTCGTAAAAAAACATTCGAAAATTCAGAAATTAAATGCTTGCACAATTAACCATACACTACTAAAGAGTAATTTGTAACCCAAGACATATACTAATTTACCACAAATTATTAGTAAAAGATACTTAAAATACTTCGTCAAAGTGAAAAAAAGATAAAAAATTTCAAATAAAATGGCGACTTTTTAGAATTGTTTTCTAATATTCAAATTTAAAATTTATTTCTTGAATAAAATATCACACATAATAAAAAGATCATTTTTAACAATTCTATTACACACTATGCAGGGACTGCCAACATGAACAGAGAAGCCTTTTGAATTGGCCCGAAAACAATCTTTGATAAAAAAGAAAAATTATGAAGCAAAAAATTAAAAGAAAAACGATTCAAATAAAGTTTTATACATCCGAAAAAAAACTAATCTATATATAAGTTCAAAATGTAGAGAAAAACTACAGAACAATGAAAAAAAGGGGGAAAGAAAAATAATAATGAAAATAAAAATAACAAAAAAAAGGAAAAAAACCGAGGGGGTGGGGGAAATGAACAAAAAATTTTAACAAATTGTTATTTTTATTATTATTATTCTTTTTCCCCTTTTTTCATTGTTCTGTAATTTTTCCCTTGTTTTTCTCTACATTTTGAACTTATTTTATGAGTTCTATTTACTTGCAGCTCATAAGCAATAAATAAAACTTATTGTTTTTCTTAATTTTCTTCGTGCTTTTTTGTTTCTATTTATAATGCTATATATATATATATATATATATCGAACTACTGTAATCGAATAAAAATATTAATTTGTTTAAAAAAATTTATTTTAACATAATTTTGAAGATCGATTTAAATATTTTTTTTTTCTAGTGCAAAAAATCATTCACCAAAACAAAATTTTATCCACCAAATTTACGATTTTATCGCATATGATATTTAATCAATTACTCAAAAACATACTCTTTCTGAATATACATTTTAGAAGGATTTAAATTTTTGACCATCAAAATAGGGGTGAGGTAGCCGCAATCTGGAAAATATGATCTCAATAGTTTAGCCAGGGGAGCGGTCGATATTAAGGGCCCGTAAGCATTTATTTTTATTTTATTTTTTTGTATTTCAGCATCTGTGAAATTAAGCGAATCAAAAGTTTAGCACACAATTATAAAATTCGTAAATCCAAAGTTGTAAAAATCTAAAAAAAATAATCAAATTATTATTTTTAGCATTTTATTTAAGAATAATCGAAAAATTTTGTGAATCGTTAAACAAATTTTTACTTCATTTAAAACATAGCAATTTTGAATGACAAAATATTAAATATAAATGAAATGATCGAACGGTTTCTGAGCAATAAAATTTCAAAAAAGTCATATATTTAAACATTTTCGAGAAAAAAAAAATGCAATTTTTTTAGTTTCGCTTGCTTGAAACGCGAAACGTATAAAAAAAATTTAGATTCTATTCGCTCCGAAATCTAGTTTCGCAAAACTGACATGAAAGTTTACTAAACAGTTGCAACTTATAAGAAAAAGAAGAAAAAAAAAGATTCTATTTTTTTTTCTTGTTTCTTTCAATTTTATTGCACTCTTTGAAAAAGTTTAATTTACAAAAACCGAAGCAATTAAAGGTTTAGAATCCAATAAAAACAGTGTAATAAAGTGAAGGGGAAAAAATTAAATTCATCGGTTGAACGCTTACGCCGAAACTAATCGGCCACTTCGAAAAAAGTGATTTCGAAAAAAAACGCAATGAGAGGAGATATCTAGGAAAAGAGCATATGCACAGTTAAGCCCCGTTTACATGCACAAAAATGCGGGGTAAAAGCTGGAATTTTCGTCATTTTCTACCCTTGTTCCCCTACGCAGGGAAAAATTGAAGGACTGAAAGAAGGGTATAATAATTCCTAGTAGGAGATGGAAATATGCAGGGTAAGCTCACCTCGCTTTCCCGAGATGCATTGCGAGTCACGTGATTGTTTACGTTCTGGGCCCATGTGTTTTGTTTTGGAACTCGGAACGTGAAAATATTTTAATTTGTTTCAAATAATGGCGGGAAAAAAAGAAAAGAAGCCAGCTGATCGCCAGCTGATATATTTTCTTACTTCCGATTTATCATGTGACCAATGACGTAGAGGAAGTTGTTTGAAAATCCGGGGTTGAAATTCTTTTGCGTGTAAACGGGTTTTCTTACCGATTATACATTGCCCTGTAAAATCCCTGTACCCTTCTTTTACCCCGGATTAATAGATTGCTCATGTAAACGGGGCCTTAGAGATTTAAAAATTTCTTTTGGTAGATGATATTTCAAAGTAAGCATTTCAAAAGATGTGGAAAATTGAAAGGGAAAAAATCGTGAAATTGTGACCATTTATTCCAATTTACCGTTAGATTTATTTATTTTCTTCAATTTCCTTTATTTATTTTTATTTTGAACCAGTACTTTGAGGGAAATTTAAGAGTTGAATTTATTTTAAAGTAAAGAAAATTTTCCCTTCTATCTATTCCAAATTAATAAATAATGTAATGTTATAATAATTTATTTAATTATTTATTAATGTTTTTAATTTCTATGGGTTTGTACGAAAAAGCAACAAATAAAATATCGTGCGTGATTTATAAGAATTTATGTTCGTATTATTATGTTCGTTTTATATAAAGTTTATCTTAAAATGTATTGCAAGAATTTCTTATAAAATTTTTTTAGAAAGCATATGTAAAGTCATTGGTTTATTTAGATTTATAATTGTTATTCAACCTTTCATCTTTTTTTTTCTATGTAAGAAATTCTTGCAACACATTTTAAGGTAAACTTCAAATAAAATGAACAATTATAATATCTGGAAAATTAACCGAGACTACATCAACTCGATTTTTATACGTTACATGCAATATTTTATTTATTACTTTTTTACGCAGATCCATAGAAAAGTTGTTTTTTAATTATTTTATATTATAATTTTTCGTCTTAAGATTCATAAAGTCTTTGGATAAAAAATTGCACCTTTTTTTCAAAGAAACACGCTTTAAAAGCTTATTAACTATAAACAACATCATAGATTTCAGATAACTTTAAGAGCACTAATTCGGTGACATAACACTGATACACATGTCATTCAAGTTGATAAGGGAAATATAAAAAATAATTATTAAAGAGACTGCGATAAACCTTAAACTGAATCGTTTACATTTCAATTTATAATAATGGCTAATGTTAAACTAATGCGAAAAAAAAATAATAAAAATTTCCAAATTTTTTCCCAACCGAAATAATTAAAATTTTTAAACGATTTTTTCGGTTTCCAAGTTCAAGCACCCTAACGCCAACAGTTCTGGAGTTTAAAGAGATTCACAACAGCTTTCCGCAACAATGAGACAAAATACAGAGTAAACAAAGAAAAGTTGAAAAGGAACACATTTAATTAAATTTCTTTAGTCATATCTTCAGAAGAATCAGTTAACGTTAAATCATAACATTTATAACTTAACATTTATAACATAATTAGGTGCTAATTTGCAGCAACTATAAGAAGGTGGTAAATTGCACCAGATTTCCTATCAAGTTTAACCACAGTATCGAGTAATCAAGTTTAAGAAATACAATAATATGGTTCAGCTATGCACCACATGGGTGCAAAAAATTTCACTATTTCTAACATTTTTTTTTTTCCTTTTTTTTCCAATGGCAGGCACTGAATTTGAATCTTTGCCTATACTATGCCAGAATTGTTGCTCATTTCGCGTTACCAGTGGGCACGTGTGAACCAAAGTCACGGAGGCGAGCAACATTGCCCACGCCACACTGCCACAAACCCGTTTATAGGGTGGGCCACATTCACACATCATACTCACACACAACAGAGGACAGCACAAAGAGAGAGAGAAACATCCATGCCCAGAGCGAGATTCGAACCCGCAGCCTATGGCTTCGCAGTCAGGCACGCTAACCGCTCGGCTGGCCGGACTCTAACAATGTAATAACAGGAATATGTAAATTATGGATATACGGTTTCATGCAATTTACAGCCTAATTTCTTTCTTATTGAAAAGTGAAAAAGTCCTAATTTTAGACATAGATCTGAAGGGGAAGAAAATTTTCTTTATATCCCTGTATCCGTGGTGTAGCTCAGCAACCGACCACA